TACTGGAGGCACTTATCAGTATGTGAGACATAACCTTACACTTCACATTGGAGTTTATCACATAACTCTGCAGGTTTGGGGATCCTGATGTGATATCTTATCTTATCTTATCTTAGTTCCTCCTGTGCCGAATGGCACATCGGGCAGCAAGCTTCCACTTCCACTGATGTGATAGACACTCTTAAACTGTTTACTGACAATATAATAGCATGAAAGATCATCTGTATTCATTTGGTATATTTAACAGTACTATGTATGAAGTTTAATACTTTAGTCACACCACTTACACCAGTAAACAGCAAATATATAGCTCACCTCCAATTTTAGTCTATATTTGCCAGGATATCATTTGAAATGTCATATTTGACAATGGAATTTATGATCCATTCACTATTATAAAATAATTATACTTTACAGAAAAGGGCATGTAGTGGGGAAAGGCTAAGAAGAAACAGAACTGTTATGAGCAGAGGGCGGGCCCAACCCACTCAGTCATCCAGCTAATCTGTCTCTGAAGCTCGGGTTAACCAAACACACACGCCCGAACCTGACCTTGGGACTCCGCCGCCCCCTTAAGAACCTGACCTTGGGACTGGGCCGCCTCCTTAAGGGGGAGGAGAAGTCTGGGGGAGACTCCTTGACCTCCCCAGTCCTTAAGTGTCCCCTCTGTGTCAGTCTTTGAAGGAACCCAAAGCATTTTCAAGACATTAAAACAGGATTTTCAAAGTCGATTTTCTGGTCATTGTTTAATTGTAGCATACTGATATCTGTGAAGCAAAAATGTATTGTCACTGACAGAAAAGGGTTGCTTGTTTTGCATTGTAGGATGGTTCTAGAAATTTAATGGTGGTATACCAAAGATGAAGTGACTCCTCATAACATGAAAATAACTCACCAAATTTTTGACTGAATTGCTCAGTCTTTATGACCCAAGTGTTGTGGACACTTGAAAATTTTGGTGAGTTATTTTCGTGTTTTGAGTTGGAGAACAGTTTAAATACTTTAATTTCCTTTATGTATTTTACCAACTCAGATCAGTGGTCGAAATACTTTTTTTCAGTGCTCTGCAATATTGCAGAAGGGTCAAAATTTTGTTCTGCAATTTGGAAAAACTTTCTGCAAAAACATACTAAAACATACTAATAAAAGACGCAAAAAAAAAACAGTTACTCAAGTAGCTGTATATAATTTTGGTGCTACCTAAAACGGTCAGACTATTACGTTTCTCATCACTCAGTGACACTAAGAGACTGAAGGAGAACTGCAGGTTTATAAGCAAGAAGTATTGATTGATATGCAAATTAGTGAAGACAAATTTTTGGAAGTCCAAAGGGAAACAAAAGATAGACAAGTCAAGACAAGGATGATGCAAATTAGTGAAGAAGCTCCTGTTGTTTCAGAACAGGAGCTCAAGGGTTGTCTGTCCTTGATAGGACCTGAGAGTGCTAGTTTGCTAAATTGAAAACTATTGAATCTGGAGTCTATTTTTCCTTCTGCAAAATTGCAGATTGTATAAATTTTTCTTCTGCAATCTTGAAAATCTATCTGCAGATTGCAGACAGGTATTTCGAACACTGACATGTGCAATGTACATGTTTTTTAATCAGGAAAAAAGGCTGGCAAATCCAAGAAACAAGTTAAAGTGGTGTCATTTTATCCCTGTCTGAAATACTTAGCCAAATGAAGAGAAATGTTGCATGCAAATCGATAGGCAAAATTTCTGGTGTTTTCCATGAGGGAAATTCTCACAAATATTCTACCCATGTTTCCTTTCTGTTTCACAGACAAGGGGCAAAATTATTAGACCAGGTATACAGAAACAAATGTCCCATTTTTTTTCTCTTGAAAATTTAACTCAAGAGTAGCAATACCTAACAGTGATATTCTGGGAGAAGACATGAATACCACAGTGAGATGCGTAACGTTATATTGAAACAACAACGACCTAAAACTACACAAACTATCGTGTTGCATTCTCAAAATCACACAAATTTACCACGAATATACCGAAACGTGTTATCAGTTTGTGGAAGTAAATTGTACGGCACGGCTAGTTGCCTTACCTTGTGAAAACTCTGCCCTCCCCACGACCACGCCGCCAGCCTTCGGGCGCCATTTTCTCGTCTTCTCCAAAATCCACGACGTCAGGAAATCCGCAATTTCTTCTACCAAAATCCAGAAAACGGCACAACTCCGCCGTAGAAACATCCCCGAAGATTTCTTTTACAAGTTAGAATGAATATTTTTCTAACTGGAAGCCGAAAATTTACCAAAAGGTTGACAAATAATTCCTGGTCTTCCCCGCGTGGCTCCGACAGACGCAGACTGAGTGGACCGTACCACTGTGACTTTTACACAGCTGTGTACAACAGCTGGTCTAATTTACCCTGATAACTACAACTACTTTACCGCCAAAAATCAATCCCCACAGAAAATTTATGGCTCTCTGCTCAAAATTTCGGACTAGTTTGTGTCAAAATAATACACAGGCAGTGTCAGCAGCAATAAGTATTCAATTTGGTCAAAGTATAGTAGCCGGAATATGCTAATTCAATCAGCCTCGGCACCACATGTTTCTAATGCAAGCGGTACCTGTCCTTGGTGCTGAACGCCAGCCTCATAGTAAAACACACAGTATGTATGGTAAAAACCACACGCGCGCGCTCGCTTTTTGAGCGTCCGTAAAGTACTGGGACTTCTTAAAGCTGGCCAAACCTTACAGAAAAAAATGGCATGCACTTGAGGAAGGTAGAAGTGGAACTGTCACGGTCTACGATAAATTCACAATGGCAAAGGGCGCATACTGTGCAAACGTACCTGTCCTTGGTGCTGAATGCCATCCTCATGTATGCGCCCTCGCTTTTTGAGCGCTTTTGTTCATGCTGATTCCGCCTACATGAAAATCCAGGCACTAATATAGCTAATTTTATGCTTTTCATAGACTGCATCAATTACATACGCTGTATGCTGTTGTATATGAACCATTTAGTTGTCTGGCTAGGAATTATGTGATATCAAAACGGCCTATTCCACAGGATTGTAAAAGTAGGGATGCTTCTAAAATATGCATGTACTTCAATATAAAAACTGCTATGGTGAAAATAAAAAGAAGTGCATCACCATGGACACCACATGTCAATTACACAGTAATACTCTGTACAGAACAATGCGTTTTTACTGTGAACATCTTCCAAAAATGGCCCCATATCTTATACAAGGGCCGAAACATCTGGTACTACTTATCGACCCCTCCCCATATCTGCCTGAAGCCACCCCCCCCCCATTCAAAACAACGGGTTTTCTGGACCATTCCAATTTGCTTCATAAATGTAGGGGTGCATTGTAAATATTACATTGACGGCAAAAACAGCAACGGTAAAAATAAAAGACACGTGCATCGACACGGGCATGCCTGCAGATGACGTATGAAATTGCATGCCGATTAAACAAAGGGAACCCAGTGTTTTGACTTTGAAGACGAAAAACCGTCTACCCACGATACTCCACCAGGAGGTATACCTTCTTCACAGAGTAACAAAAGTATTTATGTACAGGTACAGTCTTATGCCTTCTTCCATATGCTTGAAATTTCCATCCGAAAGATGCATCTTTATATTTCAGTTATATCTGGCATTCTATTTTCCTGTACAAGCTTTACATTTGGTAACAAAGAAAAATCCATGTCTTACTTCTCTTTTCTATACAAAAAGCATTTTAAACAGTTTTGTGTCAAGTTTAACACCAAAACACCGTGGTGTGGGTTAATTATTTACTTTGTTCTTTTCACGAGAAAACAATACTTCAATGGGTTAGCAGCCGTTAGCTGTTGCTATATGTTTCTACTGGTTTCTATATAAGAGTTTGATAATGATGGACACTTCTCTCATCTGAACATCAATCTGGTACATTGTTACACATCTGGATCTGAGCTCTCCTCACTAAGATCTCCTCCCACAGACACAAAGTCTTCTCCGTCACTTTCTTTGTTGTCGATTTCCGCCATGGCCTGAGCGACCAGGTCCCTGGTGTCCAGCCCCTCCGCTGCCTGCAGGGAATCCCCTCCGGCCGCCTGGTTCACCTCCTCAAAGAACTGGTCGCTGAACTGCAGCGAGCGCTGTGCTAGTGGCTGCTGCTGCGGGAAGTACGGGTTGCTGATGTCAGGGAACTGGGCGTTGTCATCCGCGTAACGAGAGTCTTCCTCATCGTCATCTTCAGACAGGTTCAGGTCGGTCGGGAGGTTCGAGTCTTCATCAGGGAGACGGCTGTCTTCATCTGAAGAGCAACAGAGTTTGTCAACACTTGTGTACAAAAAAAGAAATGGGTTCAATGCCAATAATTTAGCAGAAATGAGGTTCTACTCTACGTTATTTTAAGTAACTGAGATGTAAAGAGGGTTGGTTTCCAAAAGTTTCCATCACATGTCACATGTCCAGCAAGTTACAGAAAAACGGGTGCTGGCTAGACCCTTAGAGCAATAGACTTTGTTAATACTGATTCACAAAAAGAAATGGGTTTAACGCCTAGAATCTAGCAGAAAAGAGGTTTCATGTGTTATTTTTTACCAGTAACAGATCTAAAGAGAGTAGCTGACCTTCCACATCATAGCTGTAGTCAAAGTTGGAGTCCTCATTCTGGTAGCTGTCAAAGGCAGCAGACACAGGCCGGCTGCTACCATTGTCTCCTGGGGGAGGGTAAGAAATGATGTAGTGTTTACAAATGTATAAACCATGGCAACTTCCCACCATACATAATTTGTAAAATTGTCTCATTTTGTACATACACATGTCATGTGAAGTGTGGGAATGCAGCTAAATTACTCCGATTGTAAGAACTTTCAAAGTGTTCCTTCTCTTGACCATAGCTCCTCTAAGCTACAAGTTAAAAAGCATTGATCTGCATTTTAAGATTATCAACTACAAAATAACACAGACTATACTAGACGATGCCCCACCTTGATCATAGTAGTCGGAGAGGTCGCTGTCCTGTCTGGTGTAGGGAAGGTCGCTCTCCGCGTCACTCTCACTCTCTGACACCAGCAGGTCCTCCATCAACTGTCCCCCTGCTTACCTGGACAACAGGACAACAAGATATTTTAATGGTTAACCATAGTTAAATCTTTCTAGTGGTTTAAGAGCTATATAAGAGTTTGATGATGACAGACACTTCTCTCACTTGAACGTCAATCCTGGTACAGTGTTACACATGTGGATCCGAGCTCTCCTCACTGAGATCTCCTACAGACAAAAAGTCTTCTCTGTCACTTTCTTTGTTCTCTCAGCAAAACAAGTCGAACCCAATAGGTTACAATTAAGTGTCAAAATTTTACTAGAGTAGATACATATTATACTGTTATCTGTTGTCTACCCTTTAATTTTATTTTAATGTTAGTGCTATTAGCCTCCGGGCAAGAAGTTGCAACAAAAGTTTCTTTCTTCAGTATAAAGTGTAACATCAGACAGTGTTGTACCTGTACCCTCCTCCCCCCTCACACGCTTGGACCGGTCCGTCACCATGGCTTCCTCGTCTCCCACCACGTCGATGAAGTCTGAGTCTCCAACTGACTCCCGTGACGGGCCGGGCTGCGGCTCCATGGGCGGGGCGCTCTCCCAGCTCTCATCGTGAGCCGTGGTGGTGTTGTCCATCAGACTGTCCTCCTCCATATCTCCATCACCAGGCTGGGGAGAACACATCATACACTACCTCAGGCTACTGTCTCTTCTGCCTTGTAAACACTCTTTATTGGACCCAGAATGTAAACTTAGTAAGAAATGATATTTCCTGCATTTAGATGAGTAAATTTGGCTGCTAGACTATTAAAAACTTAGTTTAATGACATCTCTTGCCATATCTTTACTGTTGCACACCCAATTTCCATCAAAGATGTTGGTTTGGGCAAAATTTTTGTCTGCCAGGAGCAGTAAAATTTTGTCAAATAACAGAAAGACAGATGCTGGCTAGAACACTGAACTCTCTGTTCTAGATATATGTGTAGAACATTGGTTTTGAAGTTTAAAAATGCACATACCTGTGGACTGTTAGGGTTGGAGGGCAGGTTGCTGCCGTCCTGATCCTCGTCCTGCATGGCGGCAGCGATGGCCGCCTCCTGGGCGTGGCAGATGTCATTCTCCAGCTGCGTCAGGTGCTCGTCGTACTGGACAAAAATTACAAGGAGGATTTACAAGTACCTTTATTATAAAGTGGTTCCAATCACCAAAGCCTCAGCATCAGTGTGCAAGCACATCTAGCCCACAAGAAATGGGGAACAACAAACATTGAACTGGATAGTCAATGCATGAGTGAAACATGCATTTTCTTTGAATAGCAAGGAATAAGTGGAAAAGACTACCCTAACTTCTGTGTTATAATAGCTGGATTAACGTAACCTTCAAGAACTATTTACCAACTGTAGGAATATTACACACTAAACTACCACAAGACAAAAAATAAAGTTAACTTCCATTCACAGACATCACAATAAAGTCATGTAGAAGTTTTACCTCATCGAGAGTTTGCTTACACGACCTGACGACCTCGTCAGCGGTACATGTGAAGGGGCTGTCTGCCCCATTGTACTTGACACTGTTCCTGTGGATCAGGTCCACGTCCTTCATAAACGCCTCACGGTTTCAGTACTTGTGGGACTGGACATTCTATGTTTGTGCAGAGAAAACAGACATACATTTGTTGGGAGGTTTGGAACACATTTGCCCTGGTAGTACTCACTATAACTCTCACGCTTACACATGGAAACCCCATATTCTTCAGCGTTGAAAGTGATTTGAGTGAAAAAATATGACATTCTACAATAATTTTAAAGAGATATTCTAAGGATCTGTTTTCCAGTGGAATTATGAAATCAAACATCAGTTTTCAAGCCCAGAATGCAGATTCTCTAATTACAACAAAGTGATGAGCTATGTAAACCCTAAACACCATGGTAACTTTTTTCCACATCCTTGATATTTCTTGCACCTTCAGTTACCTTTTTGAGTGTCTCCAGGTCCATGGGTTGTGAGATGACCTTGAAGTAGTCTGGTACAAACTTCTTGTTGACTGGCTGGTGGAAGGGCCAAGACTGGAGAAAATATGATTCAGAAACATTTTTGAGTCTCTTTCATTACAATCCCTTGTACATTAAGATTATCATATCGGCATTACAACTTTTTACAAACATAAACTGTTGATAACACTATGTCTTTCATACTGCTACTGTAGTTATTGCTATCTGCGAAGTACATAATGACTAGTTGATCTGGTGCAGGATCCTCTTAGTTACACCAGTAATATTGTTACTCAAGCAATTGGATAAATTTCGGAAACTGTCATTTCAAGTAGTTATTTATAGTAAAGTATTTATCCAAAACGTATGATTTGACATGTAAATGATGTGAAAACAATTCTTAGACATTCAATTTCAAAATCTATACAGTTGCTTCAGTAACAATTACTTATGCATCTTATCACCTGGATATCTAACCGTCAATCGACGATACTCTTAGTTGTCACCCTGAGGTGTCACACAATAAAAGAAAAAAATAAACATGAGAGAAGCCTTACATTTGGCACGTTCATCATCTTCTGAGTGATGATGTTCTCCAGGATGAAGGAGAAGGCCACCTGGTCGTCATCGTCCAGGAGAGGGTTGATGGCCTTCTCCAGACGGGTGATCTTATCCTCCTTCTCTGCTACTCTCTTCTCACACACACCCAGCATGTCCTGCGCTATCTGGGTCAGAGGGCTCTTCGCACCTGGGGTGGATCATGAACATCTACACTAAAACTTCTGCTTATGGGTTAACCGTTGGGATGGACTGTTTACACTTGGATAGTGCCACAAAAATTGACACTGACACATTATCCAGTAGTAGAGCGAATTTTCTAACAGTAACAGAGTACATAGCAGGTGAATATCACCTTTTCAAACTATCAGCCCTGAGACCAGATCTCCTAATCTTGAATAATAACTAGAGCGATAGGTGACAATGATTAGAAGTTTGTATTTCTGAGGAGGGCAGAGTAAAGGACTCACCATTGTACAGTGTGCTGTTGTGAACAATCAGTTTAACATCTTCCACAAAGTCCAAACGAGAGTGGTACTGCCGCTGACGCAGTTTCTGTGGGACAGAATATAGACATATGAACCACTGCCTGTACTGCTGAAAAACCACACCTTTACATTATGGATCATGAGATACCTTTCTTGGTTTGTACAAGTGCGCCACCTAGCAATCCACATGGGAAATACAGCATGAGGAACTCCTAGAGAAATTTCCAGGTACCTGTTTTTTTATGTTCACGGTTTTCAGTCACTTCTGTACCGTGAATTTATCATTACTGCTAACAAATCAATCTTAAACTCTTTTTCCTGCACCTGCCACCACTGTTAACATATAGTTCTGTAAACAACTCCATTTTTCTCAGACCGAGAAATTTTTCTACCGTGAACATAAAGTGAATTACAGTGCATTGTGTGACTGACCTCTCTCATAGTTTGGAGGTCCATGGGTCTGTGTACTATCTTATAATAGTCCACCACCATGCGAGGGTTGACAGGTTGGTGGAAGGGGTACGTGTTCGGCAGGTCTCGCATCTCGTTCAGGAAGTTCTCCAGGATGGATGACAGTGTCACCACAGGATCCGTACGGCGCCGATTTGCCGACTTCTTGGGTCTCTGAAAATAATGATTTGGAAGCACTTATAGACACACATGTTGAACTGAGGATGTGGTTCTCACTAAAGCATTTTCTCCAAGTAAAATAACACTGTGATATCACGGAAATTCACATGTAATTCATGTGTCTGTAGCCATAACTCTCACGGGTTTTAAGTGATTGGTCATTAATCATCCTGATTAAGGCGACAGTGATCATTCAAATTTGATCCTTGTGTACTCTTTGGAGTTTAGCATCTTACTATTATAATACTTTGATATCATACATGGAGGTTTTATTTTCCACGAAAAGCAGCATACAACAAAAGGACAACGTGAGAAGACGCTGCCCACCTTGAGGTAATCACAGTGTGTGACTGTCCCCACTCTTCTCTTCTTCTTCTCATCCTTCTTCGGCTGCATGGCCTTGGGGAATTTGAGAATCAAGGACTCTCGCCTGACTGCAGCAGCCCTGAATGTGCACAGTTATACAAGCCAGGTATACATGACATCCTTCACAATGTACAAAAGTCCTTGGGGATAAACCATACAGATGGATGGATGGATGGACGGATGGATGATAGATTGATGATGGATTGATGGATGAATGGAAGGATGGATGGATGGAAGGTTAGATGGATGGATGGAGTTTGAATAACTGAATGAATGAAAGGAATGGAGGATTGATGGAAATAAGAAATGGGTGAAGAAATGGATGAATGACAAGGTGTCTGTGAATGACTGAGTAAAAGAATTAACAGAAGGAAAGTCGATGAATGAAAGAGTAAACAAAGACCTGACTTCTTCCTCAGTTGTAGAGCAGTACTTACTGGTCCACGAGTGACTTGCCGAGGATGAGTTTTGTGCCCTCCACCTTGATGAGGTTCTCATCCTCCTTGATGGTACATCTCTCCACCTCCTCCTCCTGCTCCTCTGTCATGGCAACAGGATGGGAGGGAGGGGCGTGGCTCCGCTCGTACAGCGGACACTCCTTATTGGTCCTCATGTGGCCGATCTGTCCGCAGGCACCGCACTTCAACTGCCGAGGGGATGGAGGAAGAAGTTTCAAATCAAGCATCTTCAGTCTCATGACCCCAGTGAGTAGCAGCTTGTATGTCAATTTGAGCATCTCATGAATAAAATACGCTGCACTAAACTGCATATACAGGTGGGATTTCGAGCCCTAAGTTTATCATCTTAAGCTCATCATCTTTTCTTAGTCCTGCTAGTTTCATTTACCTTGAGCGGGGGTTGATCTGGTTTCTTCTTTTTCTTCTTGGGGGGAGGAGCCATCTTCTCCTTCTCCTGGTTCCTTTTGATGCGTCTTAGCTGCTCTTGAATTCTATAGAAGGAAAATAAAGAGTTTACTAACAATATATTCATTCTCAATAGGTTCTCCTGAACCCTCTATACTGAGTACTGAAAGAAATACAAACAAGATGTCAAAATGTGGATAAAAATCTGTGTACATTGTATTTTATATGTTCTGCTTGACACAAACATATATACCAAACCAACCTTCTTCTCTCTCTTCTCATCTCCTCCTTGTGTTGTTCATCCTGGGCCAGCCAGTTCTTACTGCATGAGGGATAAATAGTGCACTTATGAGGTTAAGCTCATATTCCAAATCAGTTGTATACCACTGCTTGTGTATAGGTCAATACTAACAGACTGCCTGTTAAACATGTGATTTGATTTGTTCACAATGCCCTCTAATGAAGAGAAATTACAAGACATTTTTCTTGAGCTTATCAAGTGTGGAAGGGTAGGACAAGCCAAACTTACATGAAGTTCTCATCTTTGGTTGTCCTGATGCGGACGTAAGTGTCGATGACAGAGGGCTTGCGGACCGTCTCTGTTCTGACGTATTCCTTCCCATCCTCATCCTTAAAGGTCCTGTAGATCTTCAGTCTGCGACCAGTCTGGAAAACAAAGACTTCTTTAACAACATGTAATGTTTACTGCTTTTGCAATGATATATTGAAGTAAAAGGCTATGAGACTATGAGACATGTACATATAAAATCATTATTTTTCTTTCTTGTCAATGATCACATCAAGCATGCATAGTCCAGTGGTTAGCAACCCTGCCTCTGGACCAAGAGGTTGGGAGATTGCATGCTACTGTAAAGGGTCACAGTCCTTAGGATGGGGGATTAAGCTGTGTCCACTGTTCATACTGCTTGTTGAAAGCTGTAAATACTGTACATAGTGTCTGTCTTCTCTGTCATGACCAGTGGGAGGTTAGCACTAAAGAGAGCTAAAACTGTATCGAGATCACTTCTCCTTTCCTACAGGGACTTACGAAGGATGAGCCTATGCTCTCCAAGTCATCATCCTGACCACGTGCTCCAGGGATGGGGGTGCCGGTAGACGAGGAACGCTTACTTTCCCTCTTATCATCCTTGTCTCTGTAGGGACAAGATATTAATACAAACTGTAAACACATGTACATTTGAAAATGAAAGTTACAAATTCTCAAACTAGAACACATCTGCTGAGATCCCAGAGTGTGTTGTGTAGGTAAGAAAATACTGTAGTCACCTATCTTTGCTGGTGTCCTCCCCCATAATCATCCTCTGTAGCTCCTTCCTCTCGGCCTCCTCTCTCTCACGAGTGATCTGGAAAGGTACAGAAATTTAGAGACACTTTGGCAGACAGAATATTTGTCAGCATAAGGCAGTAACATTTAGCACTGGAATACCAAATCCTGGCAATTCAAAGAAGCCATTTGAATAAACTGCACAAAAGGAAAGGATCTCTACCACACTACTAAATTTAAACTTTGCAGTCATAGAAATACATGGCTACTGCCCCTTTTTTATCAAATTAGGTTAAGTTCAGGCATTTATGAATCCCAGATGCTAGTCGTGAAGACAGACCTGTTGACTTGTTTTCTTGTTGGCCAGCATGTTCTCAATGTTTTTGCCCATTTCCTCAAAGTCACTGTCATCAGCAGAGCTGCTCTCTTCATCAGTGGACAGGACCTCGGCTGAGGAAAGGACCCTGGAAAAAAGAAGAAAAAAAATTTAGATTTCCAAAACTTCAACATAAACTGGCCTGACATAACCTTCAGCATTTTGTAAAATTGGGGCTACAGTTAATCAAAACAAAACTACTTTTGAGTTTAGACTATTGCTTCATATCTGTAGTTACACGTATCAAAAGACATTTGGATCATTGGTCTTGACAGCTTACAAAATCATTGTAGTATCTCAATGGGGAAAAATTTTGACAAGTTTTGAACCAGTTTTCCATACTTGTTCTGAAGGTCGAATATCCGTTGACACTCCTCCTTGTACTTCTCCTGGTGTTCGGCTACGGAGAAGCGAGTCCCGCGGGCAAACTTACTCATCCCCGCCTCGCCTGACCTGGCCTGTTCTGTGGACATGGTTCTCACCACGTCTATCACCTGGGGACAAGGTGGCAACAGTTAGGCCATGTTGATTTGATTATATTGATGACATTCTCAATCAAGCATGCAAATTAATAAAGTTTGGCAAGAAAAAAGTTGCCTTCACTATGAAATCTATGTGGTCATAAAGGTTGAACAAATGACTAAACACACAGAGTATGGTAGTATGGTATGGTGAATAATAGACTCTTCATTTTCATTTGTTTCCTTCTTTTTCTTTGGAATGGATTTTGACATTCTACGACAATAGTATCCTTTTCCATTTTTTTCTGCGAAATTGTTCGAATCTTTATTAGTCCTACACTTGCCATCAAAATTATGAAATGTGTATAGAAAAGGACATTCAGTCACTTGCTAAAGAAAAGGAAGAATATTTTGGGTTTCAATCAGATACATAATTTTTGCAAACATCCATGCCTTAGGATAAGACATCAGAATTTAAGAGCCTAGCTGAGGTCAAGATTGTTTTGCTGTTCAGTAGATCTTCTTACTTCCCATCTTGATAGCTTCTTAATCTCCTCCTCAGAGACACCAAACTTCCTCAGCAGCTGTTTTGCGTTCTTCAGGGAGAGCCTGCGCAGATCTGCGTCCGTTCCCGTCACCGTTCTCTTCACGGGCTGGGGCGAGTTGTCGTCCTTGGAGGACTGGGGCTTGTTGGGAACCTGTAGGAATCATTCATTATAATAGCCAATTGGTACTTTGGTACAAAGTTCATTTTCTGATGCTTTACTTCTTTTCAAACAACACTCCCTAAACATGTCTTTGATTAGGAATTCATTCATGCCTTTGTCCATTCCAAATATTTGTACATCCAATCTTCCTACATTTATCAATTCATCCATTCACCTATCCATCAACTCATCTGCTGCCTTTCATTCATTCTTTATTCACTTCTGCCTTCCTTAACTCCTTCCTTGAAGACATAATTATGCCCACCTTGATGTAGGAGAACCCCTCTCCACAGCCGGTAGGGTCTGCCACGCCCATCACAGCCAGCAGGCACTTACCCTTCATGGCAGAGATGAAGGCTCGGGTGGTGTTCCACGGAGCCGTGCGCACCTGGAGGGGGAGGAGCAACATTAAATCCACAAACACTCCTCCTCTTCTTGTCATCAAGTATCTGCAGTATCACATGAGCTCCCAAGATAAAGGAAAGGTGGTTGGCACGATAGGAAAATTTCAAGGTGACTAAAGTATTTACCTCATCATCTATGTTTCTCTGGAACTCCTCTTCATTTTCTTCCTCTGGAGCGAAAAGAGACTTCTCACCATAACCAGCATCCTACAGACAGGAGAATAAAACAACATACATGTAAGCGTTTCACAATGCACAGGGGTACTGGCAATAGACACACTTGCTCACAAGAAATTGTAATAAACCATTTACAAATCATCTCAAGCTATAGTTATATATCTTATAAGAATAACAAAACATCAGAAATACTCATCACTCATGTATATAACATGCAATGCTGTGGATTACAGCCAGGGGGCATTGTTACTACAAGTATACGCGAGTGAGAAGAAATGCTGGTCGTACCTTGAGCCTCTGCTCTGCCTCTAGCATGCTGTAGTAAGCACAGCACTGTTCAGGGGACACCATGGCTCGGATCTCTTCCTCAGAAGGCAGTCGGAACTCTGGCTTCAGTACCCACCAGTTAGAGTCCATCCCTATATATGGAACATGTTGTGATTTCTGTCCTAAAAAAGCTAGTACACCAGAAGTTACTTGGCTTCAAAATAATAAGGATACCTGTAAATAAAGTTCTTTCACACCTATATATTGATTTGTTTTTGTTGCAAGGTCTATGAATAACAATGGACGAGCAATTAAATGAAACATGGCAATAGGTAGTTGAGAGTCTTACCAGTCCTCTTGAAGTCAGCACACAGTTTCAGCCGTTTGCGGATGCTGCTCTCAGAGTGTGTTGGGAAGGCCTTACGGATGTCCTCCATCTTGATTCTGCGTGGCTTGTCTTTACCATTCCAGAACAGTCGGTAGATGAAAACCTATGGGAAAACCCTCACAATAAATATACATTGCTCAAAGATGGGTGACAATTCTACAACAATGTAGAAAAATATATCTACACAGAGATACAGTCGTGCAAGCTAACCAACATCTCACACATGGCAGTCGTCCCTTAATAAGACATTTAGAACTTTTATTCAGCCCATCACACTTCAGAGGCTGAATAAAAGTTCTAAATGGGAACTATGGAATCCACTGTACTATATATTAATCATGTAACCTACAAATGTACTTATTATTAACAAGAAGGACTGTCTGTTACAGGTGAGCCCTGTTACCTGGAGGAAGTCCCTGACATGGTTGTTGGCTCTTTTGGAGTTAGGTCCAGGCACCTCATACAGGGGACATTCTTGTCCCACACAGAAAAGACCTTGGAATTCACGGATGTAATAACTAAAACACAGAGGAAGAAATATTTACTTTCTCGAAATCACGAAGCTGCATCCTACAACCATAAAGACTATTGAATTCTTGTGTATCTATGAGTAAGAAATTTAATGGAATTCATAAAAGCAGTACTACATACATTAGACCATTGCAAAGGTTTTGTTGCAATCTCAAGTCTCTACAGTGGAACATAAATTTTAGAGCCAACAGAAAATGAAAGTGGCTGGAACTTAACAGCATACAATAGTATCATCATCATACAATAGTACATTGTATGCAGCCATAATATTGACATTGTAAACATATAGATACATTGCATGTGCCACAGACTATACGTGCACAAAACAAACATCATTACCACCCAACACCCCCAAAAACTTATAATGTCTTTCTGTTACAATACCCAAATGCTGTTACATATCATATTCTTCTAATAATCTATACAGGCATTTCTGACAGGACAACTCACTGCATCCTTGTGCGAATGACGAGGAAGTCTGTTTCAGGGATCTTGTGTTGGTAGATGGGTGCGCGGAAAAGGTTGTTCTCGAAGGCCTGGAGGGCCTGTCCGGGGTGCAGGGGGCCCAGGAATGGGGAGGTGTGCGCGTACACCGTCTCACCGTACTGGAACTTAGGCGGACCCGTGGTGTGGCCTGCTTTCTGTGGGGTTGAAAAAAAAGAAATAAAATATTCAGCACAGAAATGTTGTTTTACTACTAGTACTTCTAGCTAGTTAATGTCTCCAAGATGAATATCTTTCATGACTTTCCAGTTCACATCACTAGGAAAATGATGAATGATCACTAGGAAAATGAAAGGCAACTGACCCTCTTGTAGAAGTTCTTGATCTTAGTTGCCATGCCGACCTGGCTGACCAGGGGAGGGTACTCCTCACTGTACTCAGCCAGCAGGATCTCCCCGTCCATCCCCGTCAGGTCCTGGGGAGTCCTCATGAAGAACACCTCCCCACCTCCAGATGCCTGTCTCTCCTGTTCTCTCATCTACAGGGGAGGATATGTGTTCCAACACGAGGGATTGTTCTTACCTAGAGCTTTTGACCAGTTACTCTGGTCTTCCTCAATAGACTGACCCAGTGAGACTTGACATGTGGCTTCTCTGAAAAGTGCCGTGAACACTGGGTATCTGATAAATAATGAGATACGTTTATTTTCTGCAATATCTGACTTTCTGCTGTCATGTGATGTACATACTTGATGCTGTATCTATTAGGAAATAACCAATGCAGTTAATGCATTCTATGTACTTCCAAAACATGTGTACTTGGAATGTTGTTCTTCAAAAGTTTTACATAAATTCTGTTACTAGAATATGACACCCCAAACAAAGGAAAACACACCAAACACTGGGACAAAAAAATCTGCTAAACCGGATAGTGAGTGAGTGTGATTGAAACTTTTCTTGTATGCGACCAAACAATCAAATCATAACCATACAGTCAGACACCTGGGTAATATAAACCATCCTTACCTTAGCTTTCTTCTTGATCTGTTTGAGGAGAGGTAGGACACTGTGAGGGCCGGGCTGGGCCATGGGGCCGTGGGAGAACTTCCTGAGGGGGGGTCTGTGGAGCTGTCTCAGCTTGATGGGGCCCATGTGTGTGGGGAAGAACGGCTGCCGCAGCTCAATAGCAGGGATGGAGTGCTACATGGGACAAATACACTAACATTACTTCATGTACATGTATGCCAAAATATAGTCACTCAAAACAGTTGCCTGGATGTCTAATGATTCCAATAATACTCAAAACAGTTACTCAAAAAGCAACTGGACAGATGCTTGAGTAATTGTTTTGAGTAGTAGTCTTGAGTGTTTCATTACCTGGACGCCTAACCTTCATCGACGATACAACTACAAATAAATACAATGGAGCTCCAACATTACCTTAACCAGAGGTTGCGCTAGTTTCAATAAGTTGCTGAAGGAATTACTACATGTGTATTATCTAGAGGTGATGCTAGTTTTGATAAGTTGCTGAAGGAATGACTTGGAAATAAGTCACCTGTACTAGGTTCCCCCCCATGCTGGCCCTCAGTGTTGTCTCCTGCAGACTGTGTTTAGGGTCGTAGTATTCATCATTGGACAGATTCCAGGGGTCTTTCTGCTCGTTGTGGGACACGTTGGTCTGCAAAAGAACAGAGTTCTGTTTTGAGCACATAGCTCGATAAATTCAACATAACCCACATTTTTTCTTGTGGTTTACTTAAGCACAACATGTTCCACTGTTACTCTAATAAGCATTTAAGCATAGAACAAGAATACTTTCTTTATTGAATTTCAATTTTTTTTCCAGTACTGGGTTGAACCAATTATTAACCACAAAGTGCAGCCAGTTGAAACTGCATATAAGGAAAATGCTTTTGTGTCATTTTCTCCTGAATCATTAGAATATGATTTTAAAAATGACTAACAATGGAACAGATAAGTTGCTAAGCAAATCAATGTAGCAATGTTAGATATGAATACCAATTATGAAGGACTATGAACAACCATGGATAATATTTTTCAACAGCTTACTTTTTTATAAGATATATGAGATGTGCTTTTTGTCTTATCAAATGTGCCTTTTTCAACTTCAAGAAGGACAAAGCAACAAACAGAATAAACAGAGAAACAAACGTTCCAAATGTCGGTAACATCTCAGTCCATCCTATGGTGAAACCTTTCAGAATCACTGTTCTCTTTTTTTGTTAATGGAAAATGTTAGATCTGTACGAGTTCTGTACAATTTATGATCAGTTGTTGTGTTAACAAAGGATAGTCACATTGAAGAAACACCACATAATCTTGATCCATGGTTTCGGTAACTTTTCAAAGGAACTTTGTTTGTGATAATGAATAAGGAAACAACTGGTGTAAAGTGCTTTTATAACTTTTACAATTTCCATGTTAACATGAGAGATGTACAGCAAGGTTAATGAAGTATTTCTGAATGGCAGACAAGGTTTCACACCAGAATGGAACAGATATGTCCTAAACTTCAATTTACCACATTTTTCTTTTTCTTCCTTGGATCCGACAACTGCAGAAAAAATACATGCTTTGTTGGTCCAAATTCCTCACAAAAAATCAAATCAACGGTCACGGTGAAATGTACACTCAAATTTGCATACAATTTATAAATGAGCACTAAAACCTCAACTTTGAAAAACACCAGAGCTGAAACTTAGACCTTTTCAGCACAATATCACAAAACATCCTCTGGGTATGTTTCAATGACAGAACATCTTGCAATAATGTGCAAAAGAATGAAAAATGAATAATGTAAATGATACATGATGACATAGTGTTCATTCAAAGACATGTTTTTCTACAACATATAAATTTTAAAGGATCATTTGGTAAGGCTGATCATTGAGCTAACTGACACAAACACACCTATGACTACCAGGGTAGTAAAGAGAAAAAAGTCATGAAGAGACAAAAAGTGGAGAAGACGTCCATGTGGTTAAAGCTGTGAAGGTTTCTGACAGTGTTAGTAACAGGAACAACCAAACCTGGTCAGACTCTGGCTTGGTCAAGCCTCTCTTTTTCAGCAGTAAGGTGGACTGCCGGACTTCCTTCTTGTCCTTGGACGGTGTGTCGTCTGGAAGTGGGTCTGGGTCGTCAGGGATTCCGAAGATGATGTTCTCATCGTTGGGGTCAAGTTTCATGACCTTTGGCTTTGGAATCTCCTTCATATTCTGGAAAAAAATATGGAATGAACCAATTTTGCCAATAGTCTTGCCTGACACTGAATGTGTTTTGACTTAGACCATGGGTCACAATTGTTAAATATATCTACCACCATGGAGCAACCAATCCATACACATGTTTGTTTGTGCTTGTAACATCACGGTAAAAGGGAAGTTAGAGAAACTTGTTGAATCTTGTAACACCACTGTGACCTTACCTGTGGGTCCCAGATGATGTCATCTTCCCAGTTGCCGTACACCAGTTCAGGGTTCTCCACAGGGAACAGGGAGTACCACTGCTGGTCATCTCCATCTGGGTCTGACAGGGAGTGACAAGAAATTTGCTGAGAATCTATCCATTTCTTAAAGAAACTAATGTACACCTGGTGCATTAAGTACTGACAGAGATATTGAGGGGTTGGTTCAGTTCATCTACTGGAGTGGGTGACTGAGCAAAGTATTTTCAAAGGCCCATCCAGGAAGAACAAATGAAATACCTTGCTGGTTCTTTCCTGATGATGTGGAGGGGACACTGTTTGGAAGGGTCACACTGATGTTCAAACCTGGAACAATGAAAACAACAGAGACATTAAAAATTAATGTACACATAAAGCTCTTACATGTACCTATTGAATAAAGAGACTCTTACCTATTTGTACCAATATTGCACCTTTTACCATGTTCCTTAACAGACATCATTTATTACCAGGAAAACAGAAAGCAGTATTTCTTTTATCATGGAGGTAGAACACCTCCATGCTTTTATTAGTGTGGGATTCAGATTATATGATATTTTGCTGAGCAATATTGTTTATTACCTTGTTGTGTGCTGAAGGACTGTGCAGTCCTACTGGTACTAGTAGGGATCCATCCTGCCATAGCTGCAGATTTGGACTGCAGGACTTTATCCTTGATCTGTTCCCCATCCCACACAATATCATCCTCCCAGGACCGCTGGGCCACCATGTAGAAGTACTCCTCTTCTGGAAACTCAGACTTAGGGACCTCCTCTGCTTCTTCTGAGGTTTCCATGTCTTCTGTCTGATCTTCTGTCTTCTCGGCAGTGTCATCTTTCTGTGATTCCGGTTGGGAGGGTTTGGGAGGTTCTTCTTTTGTTGACTCTTCTCTTTCATCATCCCCTTCGTTACCGCTGTCACTGTCAGAATTCTGTAACAGTTACAAAACAAACTTCACCTTTCACACACTTTTCTGTATCACTGCAGAATATTTGTCACACAACAATGCTGAAGTTTAGACATTTGGGCAAATTTATAGGATGATTTTAGCTCAAAATGGAAAAATTTCAACAAATAAGAAGTCTGTGTCAATTGATAACAAATAGCTCCCCACCTTTTCATCAAGGAACTAAAACTTCATGTTACACAATGTATGATCAGCAGACCTGAATGTTTTATTGTGAGCTAACTGAGAAAGAACACTAACAACAAAAAAGATTTACTATAAAGAAAAGTAAGAACTTACGTCTGCCAGTTTGAACCCATAGTCGAAGCCCTCACCAGTCTCCGGTACCCCCAGCATGTCGTACCAGTACCTGGCAGGACCAAATCTCCACTCAGGGATCTCTGGTCTGTCCTCATCCTGAGTCGCCTCCTTCCTGGTTCCTGTGTCAGGCAAAGCTTCCATGGGACGCATCATCTTCTCCTGTGTCATAAAAAGTTCAGTTAAGAAAAGGAATATCTGAAGCTGTATACACTCAAATAGAGCCATAGAATTGTCAAGGTATGCACAGTCTAACAGTGTTTCTTTTCAACTTTCCCGAGAATAAAAACTTAAGTACACATAGATAGAAAAAGCCTTTTGTCTAGCTAGTTTAGTCAAATTATATCATGTTGTACTTTCCTCAGTTTCCTCTGTGGGACTAACACATGCTGGTACATTTTGTGTACAGTAATCTCTGAGTTTAAAAGGAAGCTGCACTTTGACAGAAAAAAGCTAGGGGGAGCATAGAGGTCACTACCTCATCATCAGACATCCACTGGTCAGGAGGAGGGATGGGGCCGTAGTCAAACTCCCACCCCTGAAACTCCTCAGGTTCCTCTCCCGTCGGCCGCCGCCGTTTTCTTCTCCGCTTGGCACCTCTCCAAATCTGTGGCAGCGATGACGGTTTCCCCGGCCCAAACAACTTGTTAAATCTAAGAACCTGTGTGTGACATGAGGGGTTCACATACTGTTAGGTCTTCAAATTATAGCTCTAATTCTAGAATCATACAGTATTTAAAAGATGTATAATGGACATTTTTCAGCATAACCATATAGGGATCTGAGGGACCATATAGCAAGAAACAACATATATCAACAAGGACTTTTATTCACAGTATACTAGTAGTTACTATAATAGATTATTCCAGCTTTCAATATACAGATGTAGTTAAATCTCTACTAGCACAAACCCTTACCTTTCCATGTCTGAAATGAGGAAACAAAACTGTTACATCCGGCAGTTCTTTCCCTTTGAACAGAGCATCCTTCAGACTGCCACCACTGGGAGATTTCTCCATGGATCTTCTCCTCTTCCAGTTCAATTCTGGGGAGCTATCAGATGCCCTCCTTTTGCCATCACCCTTCTCGACTAGATTGTCCTCCTCTTTTCTGGAAATTTCTCCATTTGTACTTGTAGGAACCACTGATGGTAAGATGATTCCGGCGTCAGCGAACAGTGAGTTCCCAGCATCCCTCTCATCATGAGGGGATGGTCGACCTTTGAACTCCTCCACGGGAGAGCTTCTGGAGTCCATTTTGGTTGCCTTGGTAACCAGGCTGGAGGCAGGCGGGGGCATGAGCTGCCGGTCTGTCATCTCCCCCTCATCATCATAGTCATCATCATCATCAGAGGTGGAGTCTGAACCTGAGTATATAGAACATACTTTCAATCACCAAGGTTTACAGAAAGATATTGACAGCATCCAATAAGTTTCATATTATTACTGGCATTAACCTCCTTGCTGACATTAATGCTATAGCATATCCTTGTGTAGACATATTTCTTTTAAAATTTGATATAACATGAAGAGTACATAGCTGTATGCTACTTAAGTTACCTTGCTTTTGTATTATTTAGTAACTTTTGTAACTTTATAAGTTACTTTTGTTGATTATTTGTATTAGTTTGAGTTTGATGTTTTTGTTTGGGGTCTTCCCCAGGCCCAGGGCTCATTGAAAAGCGCCCCACGGGCGATATGTATCCCCCTGGTTAAATAAATAAAAACAAACAAACATATATGTGTACCTGGCTGGGGAACCCGTAGAGAGCCCATGGACTGTCTAATTTCCTGTTCATCAACCGCTTCATTGATGTCAGAATAGTCCACAGCACTGGGGGAGTTCAGCACCCAACCTGGAAAACATCATGATTCATGATATACATGTCTGTACATGTACAAGTACATAATACACCTAATATCTACAATCAAAGTAAGGAGTGTCAGTGCTGGCCAGCATTGTCAACAGATGTGAGCAGCGACGATGATGATGAAGTAATGTCATTTCCAAATACATGTACTAGTAGCAGTTTTATTTGCTACAGAAAAGGTGATATAATAGTAAGTGCTGGGCCCGGGTAGTTAGCACTCTTGGTAGAACTTTTGACAAATGTGGAATTTTTTTTATTATCAAGACTCATACATAAAAAAACTTTGATGTTTCTGAATAAACATTTTTACTGTCAAAAGATGTCTGTAACGTTAATGCTACAACACTGAAAACACATGTTTATGTAGTACAGTATATGTATCTTTCACACAGATCAAGAACAAACATGCCGACTGATATAAACTTCGTTCAAATGAAAAATATGATTTTGATGCACAAACGTTAACAAAGTTTCAGTTCTGAGTGCACATCTTGTACCAGTTACTTAAGGTAATAACTTCTTACCACTGGAGCTTGTCTGACTATCCTGTTCATCATCTCCGTTATTGTCTGTATCCGCTGTGATCTCTTGAACCAGGCTGCCAAATCCTCCAAGTGAGTTCAACTGATTCAAGTGTCGCTTGGATTCCTGTGCAAATTATAACATGTCGAATTACAATTACAATAGTCAAAACTAAAACATTTGTTTTGTGCTGTATCAGTGGTCGAAATACTTTTTTTCAGTGCTCTGCAATATTGCAGAAGAGTCAAAATTTTGTTCTGCAATTTGAAAATACTTTCTGCAAATACACAAGCCTCCATACTACAACCTTCTCAAACCATTAATGTCTTTTTTACATCATATATACCTTTGTAAATCTGTAGCATTACTGGAATTCTTTTAAGTTTAATCTATCACTCTTTTTAATTTCAGACTTTATAGATCCTTCTCCATAGAAAATTTATCATTTACTCGTATCTTCACGGGTCTTTCACCGCTGTCTCCCACTTCAAGCTACTACAACTAAAATCACACCTTTCCTGTAAATGTACTAGTAATCACACCCACATATCATCCTTCCACACAACATACTAATAAAAGACAAAAAAAAACTGTACTGAACTCTTAAGCAACTCGATATGATTTTGGTGCTACCTGAAACAGTCAGACTACTACCTTTCGTCAGTGACACTAAGAGAATTGCAGGTTTATAAGCACGAACTATTGATTCATATGCAAATTAGTGAAGACAACTTTTTGGAAGTTCAAAGGGAAACAAAAGATAGACAAGTCAAGATAAGGCGGATGCAAATTAGTAAAGCTCCTGTTGCTTCAAAACAGGAGCTTAAGTGTTGTCTGTCCTTGGGGCCAGAGAGTTCTAGTTTGCTAAATTGAAAACTATTGAATCTGGAGCCTATTTTTCCTTCTGCAAAATTGCAGATTGTATAAATTTTTCTTCTGCAATCTTGAAAATCTATCTGCAGATTGCAGACAGGTATTTCGAACACTGCAGATGAACTTTTATGATAGTATGAGCTACATGATTTATGATATATTCATCTATTTATTTGTTTATTTATTTATTATAGTATTTGTTTATTTTGGGTCCATAACATAAGCCAGCAAAGCCCTTGTGTTGCAACCCCAAACCTCAGAACACCCCAGCAATCCATTACAAGGACATTGCCAAACATATAAAAGACTGCCAAGAGGAATTACTATAAGAAAGTAGGAAATCTTCCAGACAGAAATGCAACATCTTGGACAGATTTCGGCTTGTCCTGGACAAACTTAGTCTCAACAAAACCAACAAAAGACCACTGAAATGTCAGCTGTGAGAAGCTCAGGAGAAATTTCCTTGATGAAAGAGACCTGTTTGCTTAATGAAATTAATTTGTGATGATGAGGGTTAGTGTTTCACTCAAATATGTTCTAATGGGGACTGTTGTGTTGAAAGAAGGCGGGGAAAAAAACTTAATTTCATGTGACATCTGGTCCCTTCAGTTTGACATTACATATTTTCAGAGGAGATCTCTCCTAGTCATACAAAAAAATCATAAGTCAAGTCTTACAGCAAAGTATCACAGAAAGAAAAAAGTTAATCAAATATCTTATCGAAGTTTTATCAAAGTTTTATCAAAGTTTTATCAAAGTTTTATCAATTTTATCGTAGGCCAACCAGTAGGTTATCAAACTACTAGAAATTCTTGACCCTTGTTTTGAAATGTCTCCAAGCCTGGTCATGGCCTAACCTTGGCATGGTTGGTGTGAGATTATGTTTCACCATGGAGAAACCTGTGGCCTTCCTGCAGCGCTAATTAAAACTCAAAACAGGCTAGAGGAGAGACACCTGTTAAGGCAGAAAACATTTTACAAAACTCACTTTCATATATTATGCAGAGAATCATTTATAATTACTTTTGGAACCACCAATCTGTCAATAATTTGTACAAGTTTACATGACTTATAGTATCAACAGAGACAAAATGGCTACCTTGTTGTCAACAGTGTAACAATTGTGTCTGTATTGACTCAGACTGAAGTTCTGCTGAAGGATACATTCCCTCACATTTGATTTCTGCCACACAATTGCAACACTTCTACCATAATACATTTTGTAGTAGACTTGTTGCAATTGTGTGGTGGAAATCAATAATTGTTGCAATCAAATGGTAACAGGTGACCTGTATCACTGAACTGAGGTACACAAGCATAACACAGAAGGAGTAATTATAGGCTACATTGTGACTTTATTTCACATGATGATAAATGATTCAATTTGAATTTGAATATGACCAAAAAAAAATTGTGAAAATTGTATGTTTGTTGAAATTACCCAAATTGGCTGTCAATCATGAAATTAGATACAGGGAAAATGAATGAACGAATGAATGAGTGAGTGAGTGAGTGAGTGAGTGAGTGAGTGAGTGAGTGAGTGAGTGAGTGAGTGAGTGAGTGAGTGAGTGAGTGAGTGAGTGAATAGATAAATGAATGAATGGAATTAAAATGTTAAAAGCAGTCAAAAGAATTCTTATCATCTTACCCCTCCAGACTTAGGTTCAAAGGTTACTGAAGAAGTCAATCAAAGATTGAACCCGGGTGACACAAAACAGATTTTAAAAAATTTTGACCCCTTCTTAACCCAAGACTAGGGTCAGACCAGAAACTTCAACTCAAGAATCTTAATCAAGTTGAACTCGAAGAAAGGAAACATTCCTTAACCCTGACCCTGGAGGCATTCAGAATAAGGCTGGGTTTAATCAAGGCATTTAATGAAAAGGTCAATCAAAGAACGAACCACTGCAAACCAGACTTCAAGGAAGCAGCAACCCCAACTTAACCTTAAAGGCCATGGTCACACAAGAAACTTGAACTCTAAAAAGGAAGTATTCCAATAATCTTTACCCTGGAGCACTTGAAATGTAAAGCTGTGGCCTATTAAGTCAAGTATGTTTAATGAAGTCAGTCAATAAAACAACTCAATGAACCACTTGAAAACAGATTAAGAAAATTGTGCCCCCACCTTAACCTAAGACCAGGGGTGAAACTTGATACGCAGAAAGGAAATATTCTTATAAACTTGACCCTGAAGCTATCAAATATAAACCTGTGTCATATTAAGCGAAGGAATTTTAGTGAATAAATCAACCCAATCAATGACTACATCACTGCAAATAGATTAGGCCACACCAATTTAATTTGTTGCTTCTTGGATTTTTTCTGAAAAATCAGGAGCGACAGGGCGAAATAAAAAAAACAGGCCAAGGCACCCCATGATAGCCGGAAATGTTACAATATCAGCCATGAAGCCAACAGGCTGGTTCGTAATTAAAACAATAGATTTTGAACTTTTCATGAAACATAATTGCATTGTTGCATTAAAAAACTTAAGAACTGGGAAGAAAAGGACTTTCTTCAACCATTGGGGTCAAGATATGTCTTTCATTGAGCATTTTGCAGTTTATTTAGAACCAAAAAAATTTTTTTTTTGAAAATCAGAAAAAAATGGATAGGGTGATCCGAGAAGCAACAAATTAAATTGGTGTGGCCTTAAGAAAGTCAGTGCCTAACCTTAACCTTAGGCCATGGCCAGACAAGGCCAGGATAGAAATATGAGCCAAAGGAAGGAAACAGTCCCATAGTCTTCAACCTATAAACTTTTACAGTCACTGTGTAAAACTGTACCACATTGGAAACAGGTTGCATAACCCAATCTAATTTAGCAACTATCTAATTAAGAAATAGCCCGAACCCAAATTTTTGCACCTGACAGTTTCAAGTTTTCCTGTCATCACTCTTTTTTCCTTTACTACATTTTCACTTTGGTTATTACTGAGACTATGAAAAGACATGGTAGTGGACCCTTTTCTTAACTTTTCAATGGTAATGGTCATGGAATGTAAGAATTTCTTGGACATGCTGTGAAATGAACAGTTTGCGACTATCAAAGGAAGTTTTAAATTCTTACAGTCGCCACCTAGTGGGCAGATTTCAAACTGCAGCAGTTAAGAGAGTCTGACTGCTTGCCGAGCTATGGGTTATTTCACAAGGGAAAATTCTGATGACTTTGGAGGTTTGAGCTCAACGGACAAAACAGGACTGCCTGGAGCATACATGTGAGAGAATTTGGTATGTGCCCATTGTCAAGTTCTGACAACTTGTCACCATGGTAGACAGCTCCAGAGACACTGAGACCAGACTGGGACTACATGTCACATGTATGTCACTGTAAAAGGGTAAAAGGCCTTTTCATTAGCCTCTACTCTTTAGGAAGTGGCTGAAAAGAGTAGAAACTGGCCAAGTAGACAGATAATATGCCAGGGGAGTTGGTCTGCTAAAGGAGTACAGTTGCTGCTCTGCTACTCTGAAGCCAGAAGTGACAGACCAACTACCCTGCCCAGTACGGTATCTGTCCATTTGGCCAATTTCTACTCTTTCTGGCTGATTCCAAAGCCTGTTAGAAGCTGATGGGAAAGAATGATTCTGGCAATCATGGTCAAGTTCGCCACAGTCTTGACCACACAGACTACAGGAAAATGTACCAGACAGATGATTTGTTGCTGACATTTGGATAGAGATGACATACATTACATTTGATGTGGATGAATGATCATGACAACTCTTATAAATCATGATAGAGACTACATGTTCTAGACAGCTCATTTGTACAGAGCTAAGGCCACACCAATTTGATTTGTTGGTTCTCGGATTTCAGAGGCTGAAATGTTTGGTGTTTTTTTTGCAAAACAGAAAAAACAAAGGGGGCGAATCTGAGAACTAACAAATTAATTTGGTGTGGCTTTATCATAATCATGATCAAGTCCACCACAGTCTTGACCACACAGAATACATGTTCTGGACAGCTCATTTCTCACCTAAATTTGGACAGAGCTAAGAGGATATTTGATGGCAAGATCAAGATCAAGTTCGTGATTTCTGTACAGCACCAAGGCTGGCAGACAGACCACCAGACAGAGAGTTTGTCACTGACACTGGAACATTAGGCCACTACAATTTAATAACTTGGTTCTCGGATTTGCCCACTTCATTTTTTTCTTGATTCACAAAATTTAAAACAAAAAGAATTCCGGTGCTAAATCAGCTCAAAATGCTCACATTTTGGCCCCCATGCAAGAGTTGAGCAAAAT